GCAAGCCTGGCCTTTTCAGAAGCCATAGGGACATCCAGGAGAAAAGAGTAAGGCCACAAACACACTGACCACAAGAAAACATCAGGTGTTCTTCACAACAGACATTCCTACTAAAGTTCATCACTGCAACCTTGAGAAGCTAAGCGTACAGAAAACATGGAGGCCACATTCAAGAGACTGGAATGGGAAAGCAAGATGCACTGCCCCAAACCAGTGGCCAGTGAGAGTCAGTGTGTCTCGTGTCACTGGTCAAGGCCAGGCTGGACAGGTAAGTGGGTAGCAAGACCCACCATCTAAGAGAGCAGAAAGGAGCCAAAAGCAACCTCTCCTGGCCTCAGGGTGCTCACACTCACGATGAGACTAACTACACCCATGTAGCTGAGGAGAGGGTACCCCTAACTAGGGGCAGCTAGGTTCAGACAGGAGACTGTGTGCAGAAAGGTTCCAGCCAGCCAGGTCCAGACTCCACTCTTTGTGATGTCAGGGTAGGGGCTCAGAGCAAAGCTCCAGATCCCAGCTAAGCCTCAACAAGCTCTGCAACAAGCTCAGGAATTATGCTGGCACCCCCTGAGGTTCCGTATTCTCACCTGCAGATAGACGGACCACAGTTGCCACTACAAGGCAAACACAGCATGTCAAGCAGCACACAGCTGAGACCACACACCCACCCACTGTATGTACTGAACACCTGCTGTCCACTGGCTATTGCCACAGGCCCCAGGGGCACAGCTGCGGGACAACAGGACCAAACCCCTGAACTCAAGTTTATAGCCCAAGACTATAAAGAAAATAGAAAAATAAAACACTGAGGGCAGATGGTTCTGAATTCTACATAAAGAAAGCAGTGGAGCGGTGGGGGCAGGGGGAGGGGGCAACAGGGGCAGCGTGGCTTTGGGGCTGTGAGGAGGAGGGGACTGCTGCAGGGAAGAAGTGGCGGCATTTGGGCAGCACATGAAGGTGGAAAGAGTCGTGGACAGATCTGGAAAGGGATGGTTCAGATAGGGAAATGCTACACGTGTAGGCCTTAATGTAGGACAGGGAGAGGAGCAGAAGGAAGAGTGTGCAGTGAGTGAGACCAGGTTGGAACCACTGAGCACTGCCACCCAAGGCAGGTCAAGCATGCAGTAGGTACTCAAATAACATGGCCTGCCACTCCATACCTTTTACTGTTCATCCTCTAGCCATCTCCAAGTCTGAGTTCTTCAAAGAGACCAGGCCTCAGGTGAAGAACAGAGCTGCCCAAAGCCTGGAGGGGATATTAGGGGACTCCCAAGCCAAACCCACAAGGCTTCACCCACCAATTCAAGAAGCAACTGATACCCAGCAAGAGAAAAGCTGCTGGGTATTCCTATGCCTGCTAGCCAGGTTTGTGTCTGGTACTACAGACCAAAAGCTAATGCGAGTGTAGGGCCAGGGTCTCCTAGGTCCCCAGAGCCTCATGCTGTCTCTGTAGTTGTCACCTCAGAGGCCAAGCAAGAAAACTTAAGCTTTAGGATATTGCTGTGGGTGAGAAAAGGCCTAAAGAACAGCCCAGAGTAGGAGGCCAGCACCTGGGGCCACTTCCATGGAAATCCACTTCTCTCTCTATCCAGGTTCCCATGTGGCCAAAGGAAGACTGGGCTGCAAAGAGATTCACAAGGCCTGGGCACCAAATGTCCACAGCTTCTTTCATGGACTCCCCTCTGAACACTTCCAGTTTTGCTGGGCCTACCTACTCTTAGAGGCATGTTCAAAGGATGCTCTCCATCCATAGCATCCCAGGGCTTCAGTCCCACTTAATGGACACAAAACTGAGGCCAGGAAAAGCATCTGTGTTTCTTGCTCCACCAACCTCCCTAGCACCCCCATTTGCCCTCAAACAAAGTCTTCCCTACACAAACTTACTGAACAGTCACTGTTTCTGTATTCAAGACGCTCCAGACCTCACACCCATTACAGCTCATGCCACATCACAAGAAGGCTACCACTGAGGCCTTGGGGAACACTTATGGAACACTAACTTTATACCAGTCCTTCACTGGGTTCCAAAGAAGCAGCTTCCTGGGAGCTAGGAAAGCAGGCAGGCCCTAGAGTTTAGTGGAAACTGCCTGGGAGTGGAGGCCAGCCCAGCACACAAATGCCCCCAGCAAGCCTGTCTGTGAGCAGCAGGAGGTGCAGCCTGTCCCTGGGAGAGCCCCAGACTCTGGGTCAGAAGCTCCCAAGCAACACAGAAGCTCCACAGACTCCTGGCCTCCACTGCCATCCATATAATGGAGCCAATACAGCCCTCTGTACTGGCAGGCCATTAACAAATTAAATTAGCTGGTCCAGCTCTGGGCCCTCAGTTCCTTTCTGGGGCCAGCTCCTCTGGAAAAGCCCAATCATCATCACCAGCGCTCCTCTGAAGCATCAGGGGCCCTGTTTGAAGCCCAGTTCCAGATAGCTCCCTTCATTCTTGGGTTAGCCACTGTCTTCCCCTGCTGTCTGTACCTCTTGCCCACTGCTCCCCAGCAACCCTCCCGAGGGGCTGGCTCAGCCTGCCCCTCCTGCTGTCTATGAGCTGCCCCTCCTCGGTGTCAGTTCCTGGCAGGGCTCCAATGACAGGCCAGAGGGGAGGGGCAAATGTGCCCATGTTTCTCTCACAGCAAAGCCCTGTCCAAAGCTCAGCCACAGGGACCAGCTGCATCTGTTGCAGGAGGGGTCTTGCCCAGAGCAGGGGTTAGGAGCAGAGGATTGAGAATAACTATTGTGCAAGCCTTGAAGTATAGTGGCAGACCCTGCCTGGGGGCTGGCAAGGACCACAGAGATGACGCAGTCACTTCCACCCTAGCTATGTGCCAAGGCCTTTGGGTGCCATGACTGGTCGTGCCAACTATGGCCCTAAGCGCTGGAGCCCTGGCTGAAACAGAGGAAACTGTCTGCAGGCTGCACTGGCCCATGTCACAGAGCCTAGAGGTGCCACTGTGACCAGTGTTGTTACTGTTATTGCTGTCATTGTTAGTTCACTGCTTAGTGCTTCCTGGGGCAGAACAGAGACAAGGCAGTCCTGGTAGAAAAGCCTCCTGGTTTGAGGAAGGTAAAAACAAGCCTTCTGCTTTGGCCTAATGTGTTGCATGGCTCTGGAAGCACCTGATGTAAGTAGCTCACCCAGTACAGCACAGTCTCCTGAACCTCTCCTTCCACTAGGCACACACAAACAGGGGATCCTGCCTAAGGAGCTTGGTGGCAGAGGACTCATCCACCACCCCATGGCACCCACCCAACCCAGGAGAGAGGTGAATAATTAGGTGACCAAGGGCTTAAAGTTCAAACACGCCAGGCCTGTACCAACAGTGCATTTACAAGATGCTTTCTGCATACATACAGCAGTGTCCCAATGGAGAAGATGGTCCCACTCAGTTGTCTAACATATCAGAACCACCTACCTCATCCCCAAGGATATTTGAGCCTCTCCCCACCCCCACTATGCTGAGGCTGGTCCAGGGGTCCATATGCCCACAGTTTATTCTCATAAGTGGTTCTCTGCCTATCCAGGGTCACCTGCTACAATAGAAAACTTTGTGTCCCCTGGCTAGTTGAAGGGACCTCTTGAACACAGTGATTTTGCTGAAAACGTCTCTTTGGGGCTTCCCCTACAGGCCCTAGGGGAACTCTTCTGGGAATACAGAGGAAGGGGATCTTCAAGGAGGAGCCTGGTATTTAGGTCTGCCTACCCTCCCTGACCCTGTCCTGTCACATAGGCAGATTTTGGTGAGGGGTACCAAATCAGCCACCTGGTGCAGTGCCAGTCTGGAGTCTAGTCAGGAGGGACAGCAGCCAGGGCAGGCTTTTGTTCATCTCTCAGAAAGGGTGTAAAGGCCAGGAGGCTAAGCCTTCTGGGTTCCCACCTTGGAGGAGGCGGCAGCTGATTTCAGTGGTATGTGGGCACCTAGGCAATCCAGAGAGCCAAGCCGCCTAACCAGGGCTCAAGATGGATGTGAGGGCCAAAATGGCCCCAGATCTTTACTGTCGGGTCCAAGCTTGGGTACAGGTAGTGAGAAAGAAACTAGAAAGGGCTAAGGACAGTACCACACTCTGGGGAGTGGCAAAAGGGCAACCCCAAATCCCACCATGTCCACACAGTAGGGAGGCAGAACCTCCCAGAACTTGAGGCCTTCACCAAAGAGACACTTCCCTGTGAGCTCCGTTCCCAGCAGCAGTTCTAAGGTTTCAGACGACATGTGCACGAACTAAGGCAGGGACACTCTCAAGGGCCTCAGCTCTCCAGCTCTCCTATGAAGCTCTCTAGGGCTTTCCACTCCTTTCAAAGGGTCTAGTCCCCCCACACGACACCAGAATAGACCTGTGCGTCCAAGATAGACCCCTCTGCCCTGATCCCCTGTTGGTTTCTCAAGACAGACCGACTTTAAGAAGCAAAAGGTGCCCCTGGACTTGCAGGCTGACTGGATGGTGAAGAATCACATCCAGAATATTTTTACTCCATGACAGCACAAGCGGCAGGAAAGAATTGACTCCAAAGATCCAGGTCTTAGCAGGGGGCATTCTCAGGTCGCTGGTCGAGCCTGTGTACCCACTCCGTACCCCATCTTGGTCACAGGTCTCTCGGGTTAAGGTCACACCTAGGACCGATGTCGCGCGCAAAAGTGGCTCCGCCCGCTGCCTTGCAAGCCCCTCAATCAAGCCGGTCGAAGGGGGGGGGATCGAGAGCTCCTCAAAGTTTCTTAGAGTGTCTTCCCCCCACCCCCCCACCCCGCAACACACATACACTGGGACAGAGGTTAGCCCGGAGCAAAGTTCCCTGGTGGCTGTAGCCCGAAACATGGCAGTGAAAGAAAAGCTCGCTGTCAGCATTTCATCTGGCGGTTCACCACGGGAGAGAAGAAAAAGAAAAGGAACGGAAGGAACCCTTCTGCCTCACCTTTCCTGTTGCTGCACCACCCCGCGCTTACCCGGGGCGGGAAGCTGCCTGCTGGGAACTGGGGTCGAGCCGGTGGGCCGTGCGCCCGTGGCCGCCTTCTTACCTCGGTCAGTGGCCGGGGCGCGGCGCGTCCCGCGTCCTCCAAGCTCCGCGCGGCCGTTCCCGGTCCCGGCCGCCGCTGCGCTGGCTGCATTGCCACCGTTGCTGCCGCCGCCTCAGCGCAGCCCCTGGGAGCGCTCCACGCCGAGGGGCGCGTCGCTCCCTGGCGCCGGGCGCCACCAGCCAGCCATGGGTCGGGGGCGCACGCCCAGACGGCGCCCCCAGCCACTCGACGCTCGCTCCGGGCTCGCCGCTAGCTTCTGTCGCTCAGTCCCGCGGCAAGCACCGCCAACCCACCCCCTCCCCCGCCGCAGTTATCTGATCTCGGGCAGGGCCGGGCGCGCTCCCCTGCACCGGGTGTGGGTGTCCTGCACCTCCCAGCGGGCTTCGACCGCACAGGGCCCCCTCCCCCGGCGACCGTTCCCAGGGAGGCGGTGGCAGCGCAGTCGCGGCGTGGCCGGGGGAAGACAGGGAACGAGGAATGGAGGGCGAGGAGGCGGCGGGAGGCAGAAGCTCTGCGCGCACCCAGCTCCGCGCCCCGCTGCCACAGTAGCCCAGCTCGGTAACTCCTCCAACTCTCCGCCAAAAGCACGCCCGCCCTGTGCCTTGGCGCCGCTGATCCCGCCCACCAACGCCCTGATCTGGCCCGGTGGCCCCTCCTGGCCCCAGCTGCCCCCTACAAGCACCAGCCACTTGCGCACTGGAGCGCGCGCGCGCGAACACATACGCGCGCACGCGCGTGGCACACACACACACACACACACACACACACACATCTCCGGGGACACGCGCACACACAGGTGCATGGCGAGCATATATACTCAGACTACATACACAGGCAGAGGAATCTGGACAGGCTGCACTCAGCAGGCTACCAAGCCCAGGCATCACCTGCACAAAATGCTTATGATGAGGAGTACAGTGGCTGAGGTACACAGGTGTACTCATAGTCACATCTGCAAATGTGGGGTGGGATCAGTCAGCACATCCACATGGGCTGGCTTCTGAGCTCATGCATCCCTTTGCACATCAAGCACAGGGTCATATGCACACCCCGCCCTCTTTAATATCATACATATCTCTTTTTTCCATCTTGTGTTGTATTTAGCTTTCATCTCTTGCTTTCTCCTCCTTGCTTCTCCTCTTGGCCTCTCTACTGATTTGATTCCATGTGACTCCCCTCCCCTTGTCTGGAAGGCACCCCTGGTACTCTGCTCTCCCGGTCTCCCTGAGCCTATTGTCTGCCTCCTGCAGGGCCTGGACCTTTCAGTCTGGCAGACAAATCAGCCTAGCTGGCCTCAGGGAAATCCCATTTTATCACAGGGCTGACCCCCAGCTCAACCCTAAGGCTGAAGAATCGGACCAAGAAGGCAGGTCTACAGCCAGAACACAAGCTTTACAAAACTCCCCAGCCCCTTGGTCTCCAGCTCCCCCGTAATGTGAAATACAATTATACATTTGAATAGCAGAGACACTAGATGCAGAATCCTAGCCAAGAAGCATGGCTTTCTGGCCACCCAGATGCCCAGGCTCTGGCAGCTTATCCAGAGCTCTGAAAAACCCACCAGCCCAACTCTAGGGAGCCAGCTCCTCACCTAGGCCTCAGAGTCCCCAGAAAACTGTACTGCCTCAGGCTGTGCTTATCCTACCTCCTTGACGGAGCAATCCTGCATGAAAGGTACTTCAGTACTCAGTGTCTCAATTCCCTGTGCTCACATGGACATTATGGGACTTACTGCATTACAGGACTGCAGTGAAGGTTAAATGAGATCAGTGTATGTGCAGTTATTAACCAGGGGGGGGGGGCCTGAGGGAAACAGCCGGTGGGTCTTGGGTGCTCAATCTATGCTGGCCTCTGTGGTAAGGTAGAGTTATTTTGCTGTCATTATAACTCTCTGAGAGATAGAACCATTGACCCACTCTACAGAAAAAGAAACTGAGGCACAGAGGAATACTTGCTTATCTAGTCACAGAGATACTACTTACTGGCAGAGGGGCCCTCACACCAATGTATCCTTAAGACAGTTATGCCTCCCTGTCTAGCCACTGTTCAGGACTACAATAGAGAGAAAACGGGTATCCTCAGGGACTCCATCCCCAGGTCCCCAGGCCCCCAGGCATACCCTCAGACAGGCTGGTAATGTCCTGATTTCCACCTTCTCCTGAGTGACTGAGGAGGACAATGGCTCAGATGCCTCTGCTCCGTGTTACCCAGCCCTGGTACCCAGAATGCAGAGGCCAAAGGCAGGTATAAGGAGGCTTCTCCTACCTACAAGCTTCTCGACCTTCTCAGGGAGAGCAGATCCACAGCACACTCAAGGAACTCTACCTCAGACGCCCCAAAGAGCCCAAGCATGCTGGTAGACAGAAAAATGGACAGAACACTGTGGTGCTCCATTGCATCCAGATCTTTGTGTTTCAAGACAGGGTTTCTCTATGTAACAGCCCTAACTGTCCTGGAACTCTCTTTGTAGACTAGGCTGGCCCAGAGCTTATAGAGTTCCTCCTGCCTCTGCCTCCTGAGTGCTGGGACTAAAGGTGTGCACTATGGCCCAGCTTGGTCTGGGATCTTGAATAGCTCCTGGCTGAGGGGGGGCCCTTAAGGTGGAGCACACTGCACACATGCTGAGGCAACCAAAGGAAGCCATTAGTTCATTTGGAAACCCCTTCCTTGTCATGAGAATAGCAAAGTCATCTGAAGAAACACCCCACAGGCTTGGATATGCTGTCCTCATAGGTAAGTCTGGAGCAGTTGCCAGCAGTTCTAACAAACAACTCCTATAGAAACCAAATGGTCATCCTTAAGGTTGATCTGCAGTCTTTGCTGGCCTGGCAGCAACTTGCATTCCCCAGGAACCTTCTCCAAGGGGCCAGCTTAGGATTTCTTCTGTCCATCCTAGATGTTGGCCCAACCTCTGCCCTCCTGCCCCCCAACCCCTCCATTTTCCCTTCTGGGCACACTGGTCAGCCACCAGCCTGATCCTGTCCTGGCCACTTGTTCACCTTTTCAAGCAGGAATGTCATTTCTCTCATTGTTTTTTCTTCAGGGCATCTCAGGACTCCCCTGGGAAAGACCACTAGGACACCCCTACTTCCCCTGTCTTGCTTGCCTTTCCACCAGGTGTCGGACATCTTGTTCACTTTCCTCACTGTCATGCCAGTTCCATGAGATCAGAGACGGATCCTTGTGTGAAGACCAGGACAGGCACCAAGGTCATGTGGATATGTCTTTAGAACAAGAATGATGAAGACAGTGGAGAATCCCACTCATGAACAGTTCTGCTTTGCTCATAGTCACATCTAAATCACCTGAATGGTCATAGTACACTGCGTACATGCATGTGAGCATTTGTGCAGGCCTCCATGCTTGTGTTTGTGTATTTATGCATGCATGTGCGCGCGTGCGTGTGTGTGTGTGTGTGTGTGTGTGTGTGTGTGTGTGTGTGTGTGTGTGAGATGATCACCATCATCATCGGTGTCTAGGGAACAAGCCTGGCCTCCTACTCCAATGTTCAACCTGCCTCAGATTGATACCCCTTCTAATGAAACAGAAAGAACTGTGCCCATAGGCATCAGGATAAGCATTTGTGGTAGGAGCCATGGGCAGGAAGTCAAGAGGTATGGGGGAGGCATTCTGCCTGAGCCCTGTCCACAGTCTAGGTAATCAGTCAAGTGGAAAGAGGCCTATCACTCAGGCTGTGAGCCACAGAGTAGAGCCCAGGCCTAAGAGCTATGCCCTTAAACTGGCCTCTCTATTCAGCACCATTTGTCCCAAGATACACATTGCTGACAACTATAATAGTGATGGTTATAATGGCCAGTGCCAGCTGTGAGTCTGCCAGGCATCACATGGTAGAGGTAAACACCCACCAACCTGCACTAGAGGCAATAGGCAGGTAGATACCACCCCAATTAGAAGCATGCCATCACACACACACATATGTCCTTTGCCCTTCCCCTGCCCAGGTACCTGTGGACTTCTGGGTGAGCCAAAAACATTGATTTGAGGCACAGGACTTCAGGAACCATTGCCATACTGAGAATAGGACACTGAGTTCACAGCCCCTCCCACCTGTCCGGAAGGAAGCAAACATTGATCAGCCCGGGAGAGCTGGCAGCTAACTGCTGCCCTGGGCAGGGCTAGGCCCTACTCTGGAGCTGTGGCTGTGAGCAGCAGCTGCTGGTGTCCAGGACACAGCAGCCAGGAGCCAAGCTGAAGGCCAGGACTTTCTTCCATGCTTGTGCCAAACTCAGAGGCATCAAGAGGCAGGGGTTTCAAGGCTCTTGTCCAGACTGTGAAATTTCTAAGACACGTCACCTGTCTATGTACTGCCTTGATCCGGCCCCTCTTCTGAGGGCCTTTAGTTTCTCATTGAGTCGTATTTCACACTCCTACTACCTGTTCTCCTGCGGGCCTCAGCCATCTCCAGGGCCAGCAGTGAGCACTGCAGTAATTGGCTGGAGACTAGGCAGGTGATCAAAGCCAACTAAAGAGAACTTTTGCTGGTAGGTGGCAGCTGAGGAGGGTAGGACCCTGTATCCCTGGGCTGCTTGCTGGTAGCAAGGCATTGCTGTGGACACCTGAAGTGACATGAGTTGAGAGTCTGAGAGGAACTGTATTCCAGACAGGTCTTTTGAGTCCCACAGATCTACCCCTGGGCTTTTGAGTGTAAGCCAAAACCCTGCTTTAATTTAGGAACTGTTTCCGTATTCTCAAGAGACTGTGGATTTGAAAGGAGCATCAAGGCTTCCAAAAGGCCCCTCCCTCCTCCCTTCCCTCCTCTGCCTGGCATGATGAGCCAGGGGTCGGCCTGCAGATCCCATGAAGTCACAAGGGATACAGTGGAGAGCTGACTCTCCTCTCCCTTTTTCCTCTCTTCCTCTAAAGGGACAAGCTTCCAGGCCTTCAGGCCCCAGGAGGACAGAAATAAAGGGCAATAAAGGGAGGGAGGGAGGGAAGTGGCTTCAGTCTCTCAGAGTTAAAAATAGCTTCCCGAGGAGGCCTCCTGCGGGTTAATCTGGCCAATTACCCAGCCCCTCTCCACCCTATGGGCACTGCCTCCCCCTTGCTATCCTCCAGGTGGTCCCCACATGGGGCCATCATTCCAAGGACATAGGCCTCTGTCCCAAAGTGTCCCCCTACCCCCACAGCTGGACCCTGGCCCTCCTTCCTCAGCATGGGTTCAAGGAGGGTGGAAGTCCTTCTGGTAAGTCTACATAGGCCTGACCAGCAGAGGTCTGTGTTCATCCTGACATGAAGAGAGGACTGTGCAACATTCTCCGCCTCCCTGAGAGAGAAGATGGCAAGCCAATTTGGGGCTACTGGGGGGTCCTGTTTATGATAAGAAAAGCTAGAAATCCATCTGCATTAGCAAACTGAAACTCTAGGGATTCATAGACACAAGCGTTTGTGACTTTGTCCTGGGAGGGGACCTTGACTCCATTCATTTCTGTTTCTGGACCTGCTTCCCAAGGGCTCTGGACTTAGGCCTATCCAATGCAAACCTATTGTACCGATAGGATTGCCGGATGAAGTCTCCTCCCATGGGCTCAATTCAATTGCAAGGGGGGGGGGGGTGGTAAACATAAGGCACATTGGCTCATTCTGTAGCTCCAGCTCCTTTGGTTTGAATTTGATATTGAATGTGATGATTGTTTAAGCAATTTTTTTTTTTATCATTTAAGTGATT